TTTTATAAAAATTAAACATATAATAAATATATTTTTATCATAAATTTTTATTAAAAAATAAAAATTAATCTTTAATTTATTAATTATTTATTTAAATCTATTTATTCGTTACTAATAATGTGAACTTTTAAATTTTTTTATATAAATTTATCATAAATTTTTTTTAACCTATAAAATAAGATACACATTAAAAAAATCTCTGTATAAAAATATCTTCATAATAAATACACAATAATAATTTTCTAATTACGTTAGCCATAAAAAAAAAGAAATATATATATATGTATAACATATCTATTTCAAAGAACTCATTTTTTAATTTCTGCCTTGCTAACTAGCAGCCCTGGCAGGTTCCAAACACTCACGCACGCATTTTAAGCCCACCACGTGTATTTCCTTTTATCTTACAACTCGCCTGAGATATTCATCTAGGTTGTGTTTGATTTAGACTTTAAAGACAATTTAGAAGCAATAAAATTCCACACAACCCATTTTTGATTATAGATTATATAAATTATTTTATTAATTATTAATTTTTTAATAATTATATTAAATAAAATTAAATAATCATTTTTTGATATATTTAATTATAAATTATATAAAAATAAATATTCTTTTTTTATTATTAAATTTATCTATATGTAACTCAAAATTTAAACTAAAAACCTTTAATTTAAAATCTTAAACTCATCACCATTGACCTACCCCATTTGGGGACATTTGAAAAAATTAAATAATCTTAACAAAATGATAAGTTGCAATTATAATTGCCCTCCTTTCCATGAGGAGCACCTCTCTCGAATGGCTGTCCTTCTGAAAAAAATGAAAACCAAACACGCCACAAAATGAAAGGGGTATTAGCTCAAGCAAGTTCTTCAGCAGCTTAAATGGATAAAGAGTCAACGTAAAAATAATTAGATCAATATTGAAAAGAACAAATTGCATGTACTCCCGATGTCGTAACTCATAATTAACCTTAATATAAATCATCTGGTTTTGTTTCTATAGCCATCAAAATTGAGGAAGTTACGACGAAACTTTTTTTTTTTTTTTTGGATGATACAGTGTTCACAAGTTAGTTTTTTCAAATTTTTTGCATCTCGGTACTACCCTCACTTCCACAAAACTTTCTATAGAATTCAGGTTTAGGTTTGTTTTGCAAAAATTTAATATAAATCATCTGGTTTTGTTTCTATAGCCATCAAAATTGAGGAAGTTACGACGAAACTTTTTTTTTTTTTTTTGATGATTACAGTGTTCACGAGTTAGTTTTTTCAATTTTTTTGCATCTCGGTACTACCCTCTCTTCCACAAAACTTTCTATAGAATTCAGGTTTAGGTTTGTTTTGCAAAAATTTAGCAGTGGACTATTGGGCCTTAAAATGAACGGGGGGAAATTATTTTGGGTTCGTTT